ATATATATATATATATATATGTCTGGGAGGGTGTTCTCCATTACACTTCCCTGTTGTATTATGAACTACGTCAGCTATTTGTTTTTTATTTATTTATTTATTTATTTATTTCTATCCCCTCTCAGTCCATTACTTGCAAAACAAGATGAAATAAAAGAAAAAAAAAGAAAGAAGGAGAATGACGTTGTTGTTTAACGTCCCTTTCTTTATATATATATATATATATATATATATTGTTTTAAATCTCTTATGTCGTATTCCATGTAAGTTCTCTCTTTCCCTTTTCTCTCTATTTCTATTTCTATCCGTTTTGTTTAACTTTCATTCTTGTTGAGTAGAGACATATGGATAAGAGAAGAAGAAATAAAGAAAGAAAGAGAGAAAGTTGTGAAGAAAAAAAAAAGGGGAAAAAGTGAGGGATCTGTGGAATTAAACAGGAAAAATAAAAAAGAAAAATAAACCAAATATCGGGTGAAAAAGAAATAGCAATTATAAGAAAGAGCGGCAAAATAAAAAGAAAATAGAAAAAAAAAAAGAAGAGAAAATTGTTTTCCTCCTTTCTTTCATTATGGCAATAAATGCATGTATTTTTTTATTTTATTTTATTTTATTTATTTTATATTTGATGGCTCCTCTCTCTCTCTTTTTTATTTATTTATTTCTTTCAGAAGGGGGAATAAAAGGGTTTATTTATTTATTTATTTTCTTTTGCTATTTCTGATCATTGTTCCTTTTTTTTTCGTATTTTTGTTATTTTCTTTTATTTGCATGGCCTATTAACTATTATTATTATTATTATTATTATTATTATTATTATTATTGCGGTGAATTCAACAGAAGGGGGTGAATTTAGAGTAAAGAAATTTCGAAGAAATGTGAAGATGAAAAAAGAAAAAAAAAATGAAAACTTAAAGAAACGAGAAAGAATGTGTTTTTTTTTTTTTTTTTAAATGATTTCCCCCCTTGAATACCGCCAATGTGACTTTTTCAGATTGAAAAAAGAAAAGAGAAGAGATAAGAAGAGAAGAGAAATCAAGAAGAAGAAAGAAAACACAGCAGGTTATTATTCAGGCAGTCTTTTTTATTTATTTTGTTGTTTTTGGTACTTCGAGTGGGGGGTTAACTTTTTCTTTCTGGTTTTGATGGATATTCCTCTTTCTTTCTTTCTTTCTGCTGCTGCTGTTATTTCCTCTACTGTTTCTATAGAGGGAAATAAATGAATGTTAATAAACAACACACATATTGTTTCTTCTTTCTTCTTTCTCTCTCTCTCTCTCTCTCTATATATATATATATATATATATATATATATA